TGGGTGCACATGTGGTATGCGCGCGCGTGTTTGTGTTTTCGTATACGTGGATCTGTGTATGTGTGAGAACTCCTTATCAAACCCTAACAGATGATTACTTTATACATGTATGTATAATCATTACGCATGGAATGTGCACCCGTCGTCTCGCTTTTCCTCGCATCTGTTTTCTACTACCAAGTTTCTCCACTACCAAACTTCTTCCGAAAATGCGCGATCCCGACGACTCGTCTCGACGACCCCCGTTCTCTTCGTATCGATGTTCTACCATCTTTCACCTCAGCACCCGCACTCGTTCTCTGTTATCATTATCAAGCGATGAACAATACACCCCGTGAGCTTTTCACGATTCGTTCACGCGTTTCGTAATTCCCACTCGCCGAATCGGCACCCTTTGCTCGAAATCCTCTCATCTTATTTCAGGATTAAACGTTACCAAAGAGCCGCATTAAATACGGATGGAAACACGTAAGCTGAACATTTTCACGGCCAATCGAGTGTATCGGCGAGTCGAGACGTGCCGTCGACGCGAGAACAAGCGAGCGGCACGGGTTCTCTCAACAACGAAAGCCGCTATCCGTCGAAAAATAAATATGTCAATGTAAACGCGAAAGATAGTGTGTACGTGGAGGGGAGAACAGATGAGGCGGCGGCGGCCGCGATCTGGGCACGCCGTCACGTGAAATGCGGGGCCCGATCGGGCCCCACCGCTGCTACCTCTACCTTTTTTTTTTGTCGCTTTATCATAATCGTGGGCTTTTGGCAGTGATATTCAATCGTCGTGAATGAGGAGAAAGTACTTGAGCAATCGGCGACGACGTTGGCACGGCGTTGGTACCGCGTCGAGGTAATGGCAAGTACTGGCTTTTGCAAGGACGAATCTCACGCTTCCGGAGTGCAAGTTGATACCACCGTTCGATTAAACGTTCCGGCCAAGAACGAACGGAAACCACGAGACAAACGAAAATTTGCCGGACGTTTTAACCGTTGCGCTATAAAAGAAATCAGGACAGACGAGCCGATAACTTTCCCCGTCATTGCCGTATCGCGGAAACATAAATTTCGATACGTGCCATTACGGCATTACCTTGATAGTTTCATTTGTTTTTTGCTGAAGCGCACGTACATACGCGCCGCAAGAAGGAGAAAAGAACGAAGCGGGGAGAACTCGTATCCCGCTTCGCGTAACTCTCGCAAAAGTCTCGGTGCTTCTCCTCAAACACATACGCTAAAAATCCGCTCAAAATGTCCCGAATGAGGTATAACAAATAACCATAAAACAGTAGTAGTAATACAAAAAATAGTCAAATCGTCGCGTAATAAATAATATATACATATACATATACGCTCGCACACGTATATACATATATATTATTTACCATATATGTATACATATACATATAATATGTATATATCTGCATGTGTACAGCTTTTTGCAATCGCGTTGCGACCGTAGAATGAAAGTGGATCGAGAGATCGCAGAGGGTTATATCGGGATTATTTAATCTTTTTCTTTTTTTCGATTACACGCGATATATATATTCTCTCAAGAGACGATCGAGGATCAAGTATGACGCAATAGACATTTAACAGAGAGACTCGACAATTTTATTCCGCGCTTGCGCGCTCATCAAGACGGAGCAGGAGAAAAAAGTCCCAATCCACGTTTACTCCGCGGTCCGAGGCCGCCGTAATAAATAGATCGTATTATCTCGTCATCTCTAAACTCTAATAACACTTTTTTTCTTTCTAATCAGTACGAATCAACTGGCGAAACATCGGGACGCGCACGAAGAAGTGAAATCGGGACAGCGGTACACCCGAGAAATCACCGAGAGAAGCGCTCGATGATCGAGGAAGGAAATGGGGGGGAAAAAAATAGAAAAGAAAGAATAAACACGAGGCGCCAAGAGGAAAATCCGTATACCAAAAAGCTTTCAACCTATTCGTTAACGAGAACTCACGCGACAAATTCAAAGCTTTCTGGGGGGAACGTAACATTGCGCAACCTACGAACTGATTTCGAAACGACTTCTCGCCTCGTGTCCCAATGTCTCGCCTAGCAGCACCACGGCGCATCTCGCCCTATATCAATATTTTAAACTTTTGTCTCCCTACCTGTTTCTTTTGTTTCTTTAAAGCAGTCTTACGTAAAGCGGCAACTTTTGGAAATTATTCGGTACGCGTCTCCAAAACGATTCCCTCCGAGTCAGCTTTTATCCATGCTAATCGCCGTTCGCAAGCAATCCTCTCTCTCTCTCTCTCTCTCTCTCTTCTCATTCCCTTGCCATCTGCACCCGAAGAAATGCAGGTTGAGCTATACAAATTTTCAAAATTTTCCGCGTGATGTCTACCGACTAAGCTTTTTCTCTTAGATCCGATGTAGAAGTCCGAAAGCGCAAGTCGACCGGTACTGATCAGAAGCTTTTTTTCTCGAGTTGCAATGAGTCCGACGGAAAGATGGATTCTCTCTCTCATGAACGAATATAGATCGAATTGTATATCAATTGCGGATTCGTGCGTTCTTCAGTCGCATTTGCCAAAAATTTATTTATCTTCGTTTTTAACAGAAATTAAAGTTCCGTTGTATTGTTTTGCTCTCTCGAGGTTCAGACACAGTCGATGAACACTTTCGGAGGTTCAGCCTCTTAATATTATGTACACGTTAAAACGGACGTAACGGCTTCAAAATGCTCGCGCGCCGGAATTCCTTCGTTTTTCTTTTTTGTATGTTTTATTTTCCGGAAAGACCCGAAGGCAAACGCTTCGTCTCCTTCCAGAGGGAAAAGAAACGATCGAGGTTCTGCTTGGTTTCGCTGTTGTTCGATGCGATCCAGAAGTAATTTGTAGATTGAGTTTTTTTTTTTTCAAAGAAAAATCGCGAGTCTGCGATCGACGGAGAATCGAAGCGTTCACATGAACGAATTCTCGTCCTAACTATAACATCTCTTAAACGCTTCTCCCCTAATCCGTTAATCGTTGCAGACATAATTCTATCTTATAGCTTACGGTATCACAGAGTTACACGCGGTATCGCTTAATTGCTCCCAGTTCGTAATCTCCGATACGTATAGGGATAGAAAGAAAGCGCGCAAACTATATCCTCCGCAAAAAAGCAGGACCGCTGCAAGCGAACGTGAAGGACGTCGAACGAGAGATCTGTCACGAACGACCGGAATCGACTTGATCCTTTCTGAGACATATTGTCAAATATAAAATTCTAAAAAACACTTATTTTCGTGTAAGAGTAATTTTTTTAATTTAAAAAAGATTAAAAGGGATAAAACAATATCTTGAAACTAATTCAATATATTTGATACTGGATGAACATCGTTGAAATATTATCGGTTTAGCTTTAAGGGTTTATTTCACCCTTAAGATATCAAAAGTGGCGTGTATAAAAAGATGAGTCTTTTCAAATTTTGCATTTTTTAATATCGTATTTCAAGAAGAATCAAATCGATCACTTGTGACAGGTCCCTCGAAGGTGTTACGCTCTCAATGTTACAACGAATGTAAACATTTTCAGATGCATAATTTACAACTGGAATTTGTTCCACCGATGGATTTATCAAATGATCGATTTATATATTTTGTGATAATAAATTGGCAAATGAAAAAAGATACGTACGTCGACGCGTACGTTGGTGACGACTGAACACCCACTTTTTTATATTACAGTGTGTACTATAATATAGAAAGATCGTTTGAATCTAAGGTTTAAATATCTCCAGGTCGCTTTGATTAATGAAAAGTGATCAATATCCGTATCGATCACTCCGATCAACCAATGCGGAAGAGACGCCCCTCTCTTTCTCTTTCTCTCTCATTTGTCAAGATCGTGCAACTCTTCGGATCAGCGGATTTCAGAGAAGAGGGGGCAGATACCTCTCACAAGAGAAATCTCTCTCATGGCGGAAGTATCGCTCCTTCTTCTTAGACTAATAACATTCGACGTCCTTTACACGTGCGGATCCACAAGGACACACATCTCTCCTTCTCGCACCTCCTTCTCTCTCTCTCTCTCTCTCTCTCTCTCTCTCTTTCTCCGAACGACTCGACTTACAACGGAACAATACACTATATGTATAGATTAAACAGAAAAAAAAGTTAACAAGCCTTTAAACTCGTAGCGACAACGCGAAGCAACAGATACGGATACTTCGGGCGCGGGTTACAATCGGGAAATACGTTGTTACATCTTCGATGACGAGTACGACAAGTGAATGACGTTTCGTTTAAGAAAATATCTTCATCCGGCTGGCGCGGTGGCCGTGATGTAGGAAAGGCGGAAATCTCCGGAATGATAGCGAGCTTCGCGTCTTTCGCGCCCAACGTTATGCGCGAGCGCACAGCTGACTGCGAGATTTATTTAATAGCACCGGATAATACATGTGTTCATTGAGCTCCCCTATAGGCCGCGCGCATCAATGTGTTATCATCGACAATGGGAAAGAAAAACAGCAATATCTCCCGATAAAACGGCTGTAAACATCAATAACTACGAACTGTTTGAAAGGTTCTTTCTTATTTGCTTAAGAAATCGTGAATTTACAATTAATGGTAACGATTTACAATTAATAGTCACATAATATAATAGTCACGCACAACAGCAAATAGCCAAGAGCTCTGGAGACACGTATGTGGTGAATTTATTCTTACAAAATCGAAACATCAACCGGTCAATAGGCGACGCCTTACGTCACTCTTCGTTCCCGTATTCGGCAGGCCGAAAACTCGACTCGAAAGTCTACCGATGAAACGGTCTCGCATTATACCGGCTTGTTTTCCTAACCATCGTACAAAGTTCACTCACGTTTAGATGTTAATCTGCGCGCTGCCGACGCAACGTCGGTTCTACGCGAAAGACGCTGTTTGTCGCGGCCGTTCATGCTGGTCCAGTCGCGATTTTCGGCGGAGATGTTCCGGTACACAGGATAGAATCGGGAACGGGTGAAGAGGGGTGGGGGGAGGGGGGAGAGGACACAA